CTTAGGCTTATGCTTATGCTGTCACGGTTAACGTGTATTCGGGAATCTAAGAAGCAATATTTTTCAGTGGGCGTGGCCACCGAAAATAAATTCCACGCCCCCTCATATTTTGGTCAGTCTTATTTTACATTTTTTTCATGTTTAGGAATGTCTAAATTCAGTTAAATTAGCAATTTCTATTACATTTATAAATCTTTATAACATAGGCTATATAAAAATCAGATTTTTTTAAACAACTGAAATCTTGCCGTGAATGGGGCTTAAGTTTTAATGTGACGCAAGTAAACGAGACACCCACATTTTTCAATAAAGAAAGTGAAATCAGTACGTGGCGGTCACGACAGTGAGTGATATTTTCTAGTCTCAATCGATGGCTGCTCTCTCGTCACACGATTTTGGAGGAGAAAACGAATGCCGCGCGCGTACACACATGATGACATCGTCGACAGCCAGGAAACAGATTAAACACCGCCTCTCAACGCACTTATTTTGAACGTCCTGTAACTTTAAAATGTTGGCTTTAAATAAAGTTCTATTGCGATTAACTTGACTTCACTTAGTGAACTAACAAGGCTAGTGTTCTACTATTAAATCAATAGTTAACGTTTCATTTTTCTAAATGCATTATTTAATGTTTTTTTTAGTTTTAACTAAACAATGTCTTCGGGATATCGTTACGTTAGCAGCGTTGGCGACTACGTGATGATGAGTGGAGTGGGTGTGTAGGAACGTTCCTAATAAGTTACCGTACTCGCGCGAATAAGCGCCCGGGAGCTTAAAATATTTTTTTGCACTTTCTGAGGGGCGCTTATTTAAACGGGGCGCTTATGAAAACAGAGTGGAAACTAAGGGGGCGCTTATGGAAATAGATGGAAATCGAGGGGCTCTTATGGGAAATTATTAAATTCAAGAGGCACTTTTTGAATGAAAAAGACATTACGAATGGTGGTTTAGGCGGAAAAGAAATCCTCCAGAGAACTGGCTCATGACAAGAATGCGTGAAT